CCCCAAAACCCCAAAACCCCAAAACCCCAAAACCCCAAAGAGGACGAAACGAGCTGAAGCACATTATAAAATCATTATAGAATTTTTATTCTCCTTCAGCTTCTGGATTGTTAGCCTTTCCGAGATATTGCTCGAGCATGGCTTTCATGTCACTCTTGATTTCTTCCCTTAATGTCTCAAACTTCTGGTCAAGCTTGTTGATCTTCTTCTCCAGTTTGCTGACCTTAGACTCTCCACTAGTTTCTTTCTTTCTGATTTTACCTACAGGTTAATTGGTGGGGTTACTAATCATGGCACTGAGGCCTGATTTGACTTTCTGTTGACCAGCACCTGAGTCATCATCAGAGTACTCAGAGAGGTCACTCATCTCTAAATTCTCGACGTTGTTCAAATCAATAGCATCCTCGACGGGAACATTCTTGTCAACCTTCTCCTTGTACTCATGAATAGGAATCTGGATTCCATTCTTATCAGTAATTTTCTGTGAAGAGTCCTGGTGAAGGATCATCTCGATGGATCTATGAGCTTAGATGCACAAACTTACCTTTTCTTCAATGCATTTATTCTCTTGAACAACACATCTGACTTGTTGAAAATGTCGTCATAAACCTGAGGGAAATGCTCCTTGACAGAGACAAGGTTCTCTAAAGACAGCTTTGCTGTCTCACATGTCTCGACAGCTAGTACAGAAAACTTCCTCATATAGTTTCCCCTCTTGTCAACATTTGTTCTCAAAAGATCTGTGTTTCCAAACATTTCTTCTAAATTTGAGGTTTTTAAAGATTAACAGAAATATTAGCGCCATTGAGGGAATTTTAGATTGTATTTAAGCTCTTTCTATAGTAAGAACTATTTGTCCAACATGACTATACTAGCTAACCTAATAAGCACTCTCTTTCAAATTTTACCTTCTTTAATAGATATATAAATGAACGGATTTTGGGATTCAATGGCGTATCCGGCTTTCCCAGAGATCAAGAAGTAAATGTATCTGGCTTTCTCGCCTTCTCTGAAAATGTACCATCCCTCTTGTGTGAATCCAGGCTCGATCATCTGTGCAATGAAGGAGAGGAACTCCTTTGATTTTCCCTTGAAGAACTTGATGCCAGCAATCCTTGCTCTCAAGATATTCGACGAGATCTCGATTCTTAATTTAGCTGGCAAATCTTTTATCAAACTCAGAGCTTCAGAGTTGTCAGAATTTTCCTGGAACACAAGGTATTGCCTTGAGAGATCATAAATACCATTTCCGATATCTCAGTCCCTCTTGATTCCTTCCAAAGTGTCTAGCTTTTGCACAAGGTCCTCATCGTAGCTGTTCAAGTTCTCAATAATCGTGGTCAAAGATCCAATTGCGAAGGAGAAGAAGATGATTCCTAGAATCTCCAAAAACATCACATACACCCTCTCAAGATTGGTTTGTGGAGAGAAATCTCCATATCCAACTGTTGAGAGTGTTGTAATGATGAAGTAGAAGGATATCATGTAGATATCGAGGTCACTTCTTCCCTCTAGCTCATAAGTGACTATCCAATTGTTCTTCTCTCTTTCAAACACATCAGCGATTAGGATCCAAAGGCAGGCTATAAGATGGCAACCTAAAAAGAAAGTAATGACAAGGCTCAGCAGTCTCTCGAATTCAACCGAGAATGAAATATTTCTGCAAAAGAATCTAGCAAGACCGAATTTCCTCTTCAAGAGCTTGATGTATTTGTTGAACTTCATCAGGGCTGGGAGTGACACCAGCTTTAGATGTCTGAACAAAGTCAGATGATCTCTTCTCTGACAGAAATAGTATACAGGGAGAATACTTAGTAAATCAAAAAAGAACCATCCAGAAAGATATGTTTTTGCAATTTCCTTCCTATCGTCAATCAAGAGGAAGTCTTTGTTATGGAAGGCCTTAAAAAAGGTCAAAATAATATCGATCAGGAAGATGACGTCCCAGACTGCATCAATAGTCATCCACCATTTGTCATCCCATCTAGCAAAAGCAAGTCTATATGGATTCATGGTCAAGAATCATGTCATGGCAATTAGCATGACAGCATTCCAAAAAATAATAAATGGCTCATCTGGTAGAATAATGAAGTATTCATAATTCTTGCATTCTCTTAGAGTCTTTGCGCTAGCAATTCTCTCAAATTTAGACAGTTTGTTTGAGAAAAGCATCTCCTTGTATTTGGTAAGCTTCTTCATATCTATTTTGCTACCTCCTTTAGATTCTCCATTCTGGTCAAAAGATTGATCCTCAGACTTATCCAAATCTTTTAGACCTGGAGCAATATCAAATCCTTCCTTGTTATAATTCTCCTCAACATCAGCGCCTTGGGGCTTCGAGCCCTGATTCTCAGGATCTAAATTAATAGTCCTTGCTGCGCTTTGGACAACCAAATCTGCTAGCAACTTCAATTTAATAGTTTTCTTCCTTGGCGGCAAAGAATTGCTCCCAGCGACAGGCTGAACAGCCTTCCTCATCCTACAAAAATGAGCCAATGTCACTTACACTTCTCCTTCAGGTTCAAGTAGTTGCATCTCCAATTCGCTCTTCTGTTCCTCTCCACCAATCGCATTACCTGATCTCGCAAGGGAATGGTGACTTCCTATAGTTCAAATTTAGCAAGGATACACAAATCTAGTCTGAACCGGCTCGAAGTTCTCTAAACTTCGGCGTACAGGTGAGCTAAGCTTTGTGTACAGATTATGACTGATATGAAGGTGTTTGGGAATATTGTTTGGGCCTGTAGAAGATCCAGAATTTTAAAACGAGCTTGGTTTTTGGTGCAGGTTCACCAATTGCACCCACAAATTTGGGATTTGCTAACTTTTTACTGGGATACTGCTTTAAGGGTTACTAACTTAGAAGTTCTAATGAAAGGCACCGCAACATGAAATTCGAGGTTCCTCAAACATAGAATGAACAGCTAAAACCCAGTCTAGGAGTATATATCCATGGATTTGTCCTTACCTTCTTCAGACATTTTGAATTTGTTAATTTGCAATCTTATAAGACAAAATAGGGGTTTTGGGGTTTTGGGGTTTTGGGGTTTTGGGGTTTTGGGG